AGGGAATTCAGGGGAAAAAGGGGGCACAGGGTGTGGAGAGGGGGGCACAGGGAATCCAGGGGGCAAAGGGGGGACACGGGGATGTTTCCAGGCTGGGGATTTTCCAAGGGATGGTGCAGGGAGGGATTTTCACCCAAAGGTTGGGAAGAGGGGCAGGCCCAGAGTGCTGGGAGGGGCTTTGGGAGTGCCAGGACAAGGGGGAATGGGTTGACAGTGCTGAGGGCAGGGTTAGATGGGATATTGGGATGAAATTCCTCCTGTGAGGGTGGGCAGGCCCTGGCACAGGTGCCCCTGGATCCCTGGAAGTGCCCAAGGCCAGGTTGGGCAGGTTTGGAGCAGCCTGGGATAGTGGGAGGTGTCCCTGCCATGGCACCGGGTGATGTTTGAGGTTCCTTCCAGCCCAAACCATTCCATAATTCCATCATGGGGAGCAGAGCACCTGGATGTCCCACTGGGGGCAGAGGGACATGAACAGCCAGGCAGGATTTGCTGTGAGGAGTCCCAGGCACCCAAATCCCAGGGGAAAACTGCACCCAAACCCAAGGAAAACCCACCCACATCCCAGGGAAAAACTGCACCAAATCCCAGAGAACAATTGCACCAAATTCCAGGAAAGAACCACCCAAACCCAGGGAAAAAATACACCCAAACCCAGGGGAAAAACTGCACCAAATCCCAGGGGAAAATGGCACCAAATCCCAGGGGAAGCCTGCACCAAATCCTAGGGGAAAACTGCTTCCAAACCCAGGGAAAAATCCCCCAAACCCAGTGAAAAACTGCACCCAAACTCAGGGAACAACTGCACCAAATCCCAGGAGAAAAGTGAATCAAATCCCAGGGAGAAACTGCACAAAATCCCAGGGAAAAACTGCATCCAAACCTAAAGAAAAACTGCACTCAAACCCAGGGGAAAACTGCACCCCAACCCAGGGAACAACTGCACCAAATCCCAGGAGAAAAGTGAATCAAATCCCAGGGAAGAACCACCCAAACTCAGGGAAAAACTGCACCCAAACTCAGGGAAAAACTGCATCCAAACCCAGGGAAAAACTGCACAAAATCCCAGGGAAAAACTGCATCCAAACCCAGGGAACAACTGCAGCAAATCCCAGGGAGAAACTGCACAAAATCCCAGGGAAAAACTGCACCCAAACCCAGGGAAAAACTGCATCCAAACCCAGGGAACAACTGCAGCAAATCCCAGGGGAAAACTGCATCAAATCCCAGGGAAAACTGCACCTAAAGCCAAGGAAAAACTGCACCAAACCCAAAGAAAAACTGGCATTTAGACAAAATCAGGGAGAGGAGAGGCCTGGGCGAGCGCAGCCTGTCCTCACTCCCCACAGAGCCCCCTTTGCCCTCCTGGACACACAGGCTGGGAGGGAGGAACCAGAACATTCTCCAAGCCCAGAGCTGGGGAGGGAACAGCAGCTGAGGCTCCCTCAGCAGCACCTTCTCCCCGTGTGGTCTCCCTGTGGTAAATCTTCCTTTGGAGATATTAAAAGAATGCAATTATTTCCCAGAAGAGCCAAAACAAAGGCGCTTGCCCGGCTCTGGCCTGGGTGAGGACACCCTGGATCGATGGCAGAGGGAGATAACTGCGGGATTACTCACCCAAACCTGGATTTTCCCACCGCTCCAGGCGAGCTCTGGCAGAGCAGGGGGTCCCAAACGCCTGCCAGGGATGATTTAAACCCTGGCTCCTCTCTGCGGGTTTTGGGGGTGACACAGAGGTGACACAGAGTGACACAGAGTGTGACACAGGGCTGTCAGGACAGAGCCAGGCGGGTGGCACTGTCCCCTGGCTGGTTTTGTCACCAGGGGGAGGTTACAGGGTGACCTTTTGAGGAGAGGTGTCCCTCAGAGAAGGTGGGACCACAAGTCATGGGCACAGCCTTGCACCAAACTGCTCCCCATGGCTGTCACCTGTCCCACACACATTAAATGTCATTTTGGTACCGTTGAGCCTGTCCAAGCACACTGCCACACGCATTAAATGTCATTTTGGTGCCACTGAGCCTGTCCAAGCACACTGCCACACACATTAAATGTCATTTTGGTACCACTGAGCCTGTCCAAGCACACTGCCACACGCATTAAATGTCATTTTGGTACCATTGAGCCTGTCCAAGCACACTGCCACATGCATTAAATGTCATTTTGGTACCATTGAGCCATTCTCTGTGGCTGTCACCTGTCCCAGTGTGGTGCCACATGCATTAAATGTGATTTTGGTACAACTGGGCCACTCTCTGTGGCTGTGACTGGTACCAGCAATGTCCCACACACATAAAATGTCATTTTAGTTCAACTGGGCTACTCTCCATGGCTGTCACCTGTCCCAGAGATGTCCCACACACATTAAATGTGATTTTGGTAAATTGGGCTACTCTCTGTGGATGTGACTGGTACTAGCACTGTCCCACACACATTAAATGTCATTTTTATACCATTGGGCCGCTCCTCACGGCTGTCACCTGTCCCAGCACTGTCCCAAATGCATTAATGTCATTTTTATACCATTGGGCCACTCTCCATGGCTGTGACTGGTACCAGCACTGTCCCACATGCATTAAATGTCATTTTAGTACAACTGGGCCACTCTCTGTGGATGTGACCAGTACCAATGCAGTCCCTCATGCATTAAATGTCATTTTGGGACCATTGGGCCACTCTCCATGGCCATCATCTGTCCCAGCATAGTCCCACCTGCATCAAATATAATTTTGGTACCATTGGGCCACCGTCCATGGCTGTCACCTGTTCCAGAGCACAGTCCCACACACATTAAATGTGATTTTGGTACAACTGAGCCACTCTCCATGGCTGTCACCTGTCCCAGCACAGTGCCACACACATTAAATGTGATTTTGGTACCATTGGGCCACTCTCCATGTCTGTAACCAGTCCCAGGGCTGTCCCACACACATTAAATGTCACTTTGGCACAATTGAGCCACTCTCTGTGGCTGTGATCAGTACCAATGAGGTCCCACACACATTAAATGTGATTTTGGTACCTTTGGGCCACTAACCACGGCTGTCACCTGTCCCACACACATTAAATGTGATTTTGGTGCCAATGGGCCACTCTCTGTGGCTGTCACCTGTCCCAGCATGGTGCCACATGCATTAAATGTCAATTTGGTAAAATTGGGCCACTCTCCATGGCTGTGACCTGTCCCAGCATGGTCCCACACACATTAAATGTCATTTTGGGACCATTGGGCCACTGTCCATGGCTGTCACCTGTCCCAGGGCTGTCCCACACACATTAAATGTGATTTTGGTACCTTTGGGCGACTCTCCGTGGCTGTCACCTGTCCCACACACATTAAATGTCATTTTGGTGCCACTGGGCCACTCTCCGTGGCTGTCACCTGTCCCAGCATGGTGCCACATGCATTAAATGTCATTTTGGTAAAATTGGGCCACTCTCTGTGGCTGTGACCTGTCCCAGCACTGTCCCACACATATTAAATGTCTTTTTGGTGCCAATGGGCCACTCTCTGTGGCTGTCACCTGTCCCACACACATTAAATGTCATTTTGGTGCCAGTGGGCCTCTCTCTGTGGCTGTCACCTGTCCCAGCGCTGTGCCACGCACATTAAATGTCATTTTGGTACAACGAAGACACCCAGGTCCCTTCCCCTGCCACTGTCACTGTTTTTTTTGGCCACTTCAGTTCTTCACAGGGCTGCTCCTTCCCACCTCCAGCCTCTCCCCCAGCTCAACAAACCAGGCACGAATCTCTCTCTCTCTCTGCTCATTCCAAAATCAGCCCGCGACATCCGAAGACCATCCCCGAGCCGCAGCAATGGCGATAACGAATCGCGATAACGGATCGTGATAAAGAGCGGCGCTAATGAGCGGCGCTAATGAATTGCGGCCATGAATTATTCACACCGAGCAGCCACGGGAGCCGTTTCCAAGGGCCACGGGGGAAGATGAGCACGGCCGGGAGGAGCTGAGCTGAACCCGAGTGCGGCAATTTCAGCCTCAAAGCGAACAGGATCCTGTCCGGGCCAGCCAAGGGATGGCACCGGCCCGAGGGGAAAATGTCACTGTCGCTGTCGTGGGATTGTTAAAAATGGCTTAGGAACGGTTGTGAAATAGTCGATAATTGTTATTGAGCGCTGTTAGTTGGGTTGTTATATTGTAAAAGGGGTTTAAAGGGTGGTTAGAAGAAATTACACCTCAGCGAAGGTTTTCACACCATTCCCGGAGGCTTTTAGACCTTTTCCAGAGCATTTCCCAGCTTCTCCAGGAGTTTTCCCAGTTTTTCCAGAGCCCCAGCGAAACGGGCTGAGCTGTAATGGCCAATCAAGGCCTGAAACCTTCATGCAAATGAAGGATCCCAACAGAAACCAATCCAAAGGGACAAAAAACAGGATAAAAAGGGACATCTGAGCCAGGGAAGCTGTGCCCTTGCCCTGGGACATCGGGGACATCGCTGCTGCTGCATCCTCGGCCCGGGCCCCTTGCTTGGGGCCTTTCTTATTATTGTAATAAATGCTGAAATCACATTTAGCACCCTTTGTTTTAGACCTTTCTTTTTATTATAATAAATGCTGAAATCACTTTTAATAAATAAAATAAATAAATAAATGCTGAAATCACTTTTGGTACCCCTTGTTTTGGACCTTTCTTTTTATTATAATAAATGCTGAAATCACCTTTAGCACCCTTTGTTTTAGACCTTTCTTTTTATTAGAATAAATGCTGAAGTCACTTTTCATAAATAAATAAATAAATGCTGAAAAAAAACTTTTAGTACCCCTTGGTTTAGGCCTTTCATTTTATTGGAATAAATGCCGAAATAACTTTGAATAAATAAAATAAATAAATAAATATTGAAATCACTTTTAGCACCGTTGTTTTGGACCTTTCTTTTCGTTAGAATAAATGCTGAAATCACTTTCCATAAATGAAATAAATAAATAAGTAAATGCTGAAATCACTGTCCATAAATGAAATAAATAAATAAATAAATCCTGAAACCACTTTTAGCACCCCTTGCTTTGGGCCTTCCTTTTTATTAGAATAAATGTTGAAATCACTTTTAATAAATACAATAAATAAATAAATAAATGCTGAAACCACTTTTAATAAATAAAATAAATAAATAAATGCTGAAATTACTTTTAATAAATAAAATAATTAAATAAACGCTGAAATCACTTTTAGTACCAGGAGTCTAGTCCCGTTTTTAACAGGATCTCTCCGGCCCCGTGTTTGGGGTCCTGGTGGGTTTCTCGGGATGCTTTTCCCGAGGATTCCCCGCGTTGTGCAAAGGCCCCGCGGAGTTTCTGTTTCCAGCGGATAAATTCCTCGCAGAATCCAGAGGATTCTGTGCTGCTGTGGGAGGGAGGGAGGCTGGGGGATGTTTTTTTCCTCAGGAAGCCTTTCCCATTTTCATGGAAATGCCAAGGGACGCGGAGGGAGCCCGCTGGAATCCGCTGATAAGGATCCCCCATTGTGGCAGCGCCCGCCGCTCTCTCCGCTGGGGAAATCCACCGAAATTCCCCTGGAAATCCCAAACCGGGCTTGTCCCGCTGCGTGTCCACTAAAACCAGCCCGAAATCCAGCCAGGAATTTGGCTCCGTGTCAGAGAAACCTGCTCCAAGCTCAGCTTGGTGCTCGGTCACAGCTCTGTCTGTTTGCAGGCTGCGAAATTTGTATTAATTCGTTTATTACATTAAAATAAATTTCAGCGTTATCCCGGCTCTGCAAACTTCCACATCCCGGCCAAAAGCAGTGGTTCTGCCTCGGGTCTGGGTGGGCACAAGCTCTGTTTGTGGACAGGGAAAGGAATAAACATCAGGAAAGAAATTCCCTCGGAGCGGGGAGACCTCCCACAGGGAAAGGAAGAGTCATTAAAATGCCAGAGACAACAAAAAGCTGAATGCTCACCCCTCGTTCATCGTGGCCCTGAGCCCCAGCATTCCTCACCTGCTGCCGGGGATGCTCTGGCAGGTGTGGAACCCATTTTCCCTCTGAAAACCCCGGAGAAAGCCGGGAATGCTCTGATCCTCCCCATCCATCAGCAGGAGAAGGGAAACTCATCAGCGCCAATGGGAGCCTGTGGAAAAGTCATTTATGGCCTTTCAGCGATGGTGAGAGCAGCAGAGGCCACCCCAGGAGTGCAGCTGGGGGTTCCATCTGTCCGTCCATCCATCATCCATCCATGGATCCATCCCTCCATCCATCCATCATTGATCCATGGATCCATCCATCCATCCATCATTGATCCATGGATCCATCCATCATCCATCCATCATTGATCCATGGATCCATCCATCGTCCATCTATGGATCCATGTGTGGATTCATCCATCCATCCATCCATCCATCCATCCATCCATCCATCCATCATTGATCCATGGATCCATCCATCATCCATCCATGGATCCATCCCTCCATCCATCCATCATCCATCCATCCATCCATCCATCATCCATCCATCCATCATCCATCCATCCATCCATCATTGATCCATGGATCCATCCATCCATCCATCCATCCATCCATCCATCCATCCATCCATCCATCCCTCATCCATCCATCCATCCCTCATCCATCCATCCATCCATCCCTCATCCATCCATCCATCATCCATCCATTCCTCCATCCATCCATCCATCCATCCATCCATCCATCCATCCATCCATCCATCCATCCATCCCAATTTTTCCACAAATCCACCCCTCCAAGGCTCCCTTTACCACAAATCCACCTCCCAGGTGTCCCTGTCACCCTCCTGGGCACTGGGGGTGTCACAGCACATGGGGCTGCAGAAACCCTGAGGCATTTTGAGGAAAAAGAAGAAAAATTCCCCCCAAAAATAACCCATAAAAAACCCACAAAAAGCCTACAGAAACCCACAAAAAAAGCTGGAGCTTTTATTTTCCAAGCAGGAAGCGTCTGTCTCTCAGGATGGTGACTCCACATCCGCTCCAGCGCCAGCACATTCCCAGGAATGGGAACAGCCGGGGGTGACTCTGCTGCTGGTGGCCCCACAGGGTTGGGGACACCCCAGGGATGAGGATGGCAGCGATGGAGGAGATCCCAGAGCTCAATTCCCAGCTCTCCAGAGAGGAATTCCCAGCTGAAGCTGGAGCAGCTCTCCCACAAACCCGCATCGGGCTCCTTTTGGGAGCTGCCACCACAAACTGACCGCAAAAAAGCAGCACTGACCCCAAAAAGCGGTGCTGACCCCCAAAAATATTGTCCCCACCAGCCAGGGCCAGCCCAGCCGCGTGTCCTGAGCCCATGGCAAGGTGCAGGAATCATTTCTGCTCCACCCCATCCTTTGGAGGCTGCTCCTCGAGGAAGTTTCCTGTTTGAACAGACAGAGTCTGCTCGGGGACGATAAATGAGGATTTTTGGCAGCAGGGCCAGCTCGGCCCTCAGTGCTGGAGCAGCCACCAGGGCTGAAAAGCCTCTCAGTAAACTCCGAGCGTGGGGAGTTCAGGCGAGGACACGGCCGGGGCCGCTCCGGGATTTTTTTGTCGCTGGAAAATCCAAATGCTCGGCTGGGTTGGGATAAAGGAGGGGGCACGGAGGGTCCTGGGGGCAGAGGGACCATCCCAGGGCTTCCTGCAGCCCCCCCCAGGGCCAGGCTGGTGACAAAACCAACATTTATCCAGGGAAAGGAGCTCCAGGGCACTCTCATCCCAAGGGAGTCACTGCAGAGCTCGGGAAGCTGCAGCCCTGGAGGCATTTCCTGGGCAGCAGCATCAGGGACTCTTCGGACCCAAATCCAGCCCTGTCCCAGCTCTTGGACCCAAACCCAGCCCTGTCCCAGCTCCTGGACACAAATCCAGCCCTGTCCCAGCTCTTGGACCCAAACCCAGCCCTGTCCCAGCTCCTGGACCCAAATCCTGCCCTGTCCCAGCTCTTGGACCCAAATCCTGCCCTGTCCCAGCTCTTGGACCCAAATCCAGCCCTGTCCCAACTCCTGGACCCAAACCCAGGCCTGTCCCAGCTCTTGGACCCAAATCCTGCCTTGTCCCAACTCCTGGACCCAAATCCAGGCCTGTCCCAGCTCTTGGACCCAAATCCTGCCCTGTCCCAACTCCTGGACCCAAATCCAGGCCTGTCCCAGCTCTTGGACCCAAATCCAGGCCTGTCCCAACTCCTGGACCCAAACCCAGGCCTGTCCCAGCTCTTGGACCCAAATCCTGCCTTGTCCCAACTCCTGGACCCAAATCCAGGCCTGTCCCAGCTCTTGGACCCAAATCCTGCCCTGTCCCAACTCCTGGACCCAAATCCAGGCCTGTCCCAACTCCTGGACCCAAATCCTGCCCTGTCCCAACTCCTGGACCCAAATCCTGCCCTGTCCCAGCTCTTGGACCCAAACCCAGCCCTGTCCCAACTCCTGGACCCAAATCCAGCCCTGTCCCAGCTCCTGGACACAAATCCAGCCCTGTCCCGGCTCCTGGAAGGTGTTTGGGTTCCTCGGGGGTGTTTTTCTAGGGGAATAAGATACTGGAGGAGACGCACAGCACCCAGGTTATTTGTTGGATCTTGCAGCACCTGAAATGGGATTTTCGAGCTGCCCCGGTCCAGCGCCCCCCGGGCAGGGCAGCCCAGGACAGCGGCAGCGCTGCCGGAGGCGCTGCTGCAGCCGCAGCTCGGCCCAGGGATGCCATCTGCTGTTCACAGCGCTGGGAGGAGACCTGGGGCTCACCCAGCCCAAACCAAAGCACCCGAACCCGCTCAGATCCTCAAGGATGCCATCTGCTGTTGACAGCTCTGGGAGGAGCCCAAACCCAACCACCCAAACCCGCTGAAATCCTCAAACCCGCCCTGCACGCACAGCCAGGAGCGCCCGGGCCACCCGAGCTGGGCTCAGGTCACGTCTCCGGCAGCTGCTGTGCCAAACCCAGGGAGGCCGTGTCCTGCTGGATCCCATTTCCCTGCAGGAGCATCCCGGGAAAGGGCAGGGATGAGGCCATCCCCACCTGGCACCTGGCAAAGGCAGAGGCTGTGCCAGTTCTGTGCCAGTTCTGTGCCAGTTCTGTGCTAATCCTGTGCCAATCCTGTGCCAGTTCTGTGCCAGTCCTGTGCCAGTTTTGTGCCAATCCTGTGCCAATCCTATGCCAATCCTATGCCAGTTCTGTGCCAATCCTGTGCCAATCCTGTGCCAGTCCTGTGCCTATCCTGTGCCAGTCCTGTGCCAGTCCTGTGCCAGTTCTGTGCCAATCCTGTGCCAATCCTGTGCCAGTTCTGTGCCAGTTCTGTGCCAGTCCTGTGCCAGTTCTGTGCCAGTTCTGTGCCAGTCCTGTGCCAACCCTGTGCCAGTTCTGTGCCAGTTCTGTGCTAATCCTGTGCCAGTTCTGTGCCAGTCCTGTGCCAGTTCTGTGCCAGTCCTGTGCCAGTCCTGTGCCAATCCTGCACCAGTTCTGTGCCAATCCTGTGCCAATCCTGTGCCAGTCCTGTGCCAATCCTGTGCCAGTCCTGTGCCAGCAGAGAGGAGCCAGAGCAGAATTCACCCTCGGGAGCAGCCCCTGGCCCCAGCTCCTGCTGGAACCCCAAGGAACAGCCACGGCATTGCAGGGGAAGGCAGAGAGCGATCCTGGATCCTGCTGCAGGTTGGGAGTTTCCTCTGGGAGAAAATCCATAGGGAAGCACTTGCAGATCCCAGGATGGAGGAGGACACCACCACTGTCCCCCCTGAGCCACCACTGACCCCTCTGGGGAGCCCCAATGTCACCTGTGACCGGGATGGCTGCAGGGACACAATTCCCACACGGGGATCTCCAGACTCCTTCCCATGGGGAGCAGCTCCTCCAGCTGGGTGTCCCCATGGAGATGTGGGGAGCAGTTCCTCTGGCTGGATGTCCTCATGGAGCTGTGGGGAGTAGATCCCCCCAACTGATGTCCCCATGGAGCTGTGGGGAGCAGTTCCACCCCCATGGAGCTGTAGGGAGCAGTTCCTCTGTCTGGGTGTCCCCACGGAGCTGTGGGGACCAGTTCCTCCAGCTGGATGTCCCCATGGAGCTGTGGGGAGCAGTTCCTCCTCCATGGAGCTGTAGGGACCAGTTCCTCCAGCTGGATGTCCCCATGGAGCTGTGGGGAGCAGTTCCACCCCCATGGAGATGTGGGGACCAGTTCCTCCAGCTGGATGTCCCCACGGAGCTGTGGGGAGCAGTTCCACCCCCATGGAGCTGTGGGGAGCAGTTCCTCCTCCATGGAGCTGTGAGGAGCAGTTCCTCTGTCTGGGTGTCCCCATGGAGCTGTGAGGAGCAGTTCCACCCCCATGGAGATGTGGGGAGCAGTTCCTCCTCCATGGAGCTGTGAGGAGCAGCTCCTCCAGCTGATGTCCTCATGGAGCTGTGACAATGACAGGAGGGGACCCCTGGCCAGTGTGGGGGTTCCTCATGGACACCAGTGCCAGGAAGGGAGGCACCAGAATCCCTGGATGTGCTTCTGGAGGAGCTGCCAGCACTGTTGGATGCATCTGTCCCAGTCCTGGGAGCTTCCAGTGCTGTCCCCAATGCCACCACTGGGGACAGGCAGGGGCAGGGCCCTGCTCCAGGTGGGATTCTCCTCCAGGTGGGCTCAGAGAGACACAGGGACCTGTTCCAGGTGGGATTCTCCTCCAGGTGGGTTCCAATCAGGAATCAGACAGGCACAGGGATCTGCTCTAGGTGGGATCCTCCCTCAGATGGGTTCCAGTCAGGAATGAGAGAGGCACAGGGCCCTGTTCCAGGTGGGATCCCCACTCAGGTGGGCTCAGATCAGGAGTCAGAGAGGCACAGGGCCCTGTTCCAGGTGGGATTCTCATTCAGGTGGGCTCGGATCAGGAGTCAGAGAGGCACAGGGCCCTGTTCCAGGTGGGATCCCCACTCAGATCAGGAGTCAGAGAGGCACAGGGCCCTGTTCCAGGTGGGATCCCCACTCAGATCAGGAGTCAGAGAGGCACAGGGCCCTGTTACAGGTGGGATTCTCATTCAGGTGGGCTCAGATCAGGAGTCAGAGAGGCACAGGGCCCTGTTCCAGGTGGGATTCTCATTCAGGTGTGCTCAGATCAGGAGTCAGAGAGGCACAGGGCCTCCACGGCCGTGCTGAGCCCCTGGCTGACGCCCCCCACGGCCAGCAGGCAGTCCCTCAGCACGATGCTGGAGCAGGCGCAGCGCGGCGTGGGCATGGGGGGGAGGCTCTCCCACTTGTTCTTCTCGGGGTGGAAAGCCTCTGCCGACTCCAGCACGCTCGGCTGATTCCCTGGAAGCACAAAAGGAGGCGCTGGATGATCTGGGAAGCACCATCGAGCTTCTCTTGGCTGCTCTGACCCCATCCCCTTATGGGGTTTGCTTTCCCTGCTCCCTCCCACCAGCCAGCACTGGGATTTCTCCTGGTTTTTTTTGGGATGACAACAATTCCAACACCTTTTTAAAGGGTTCCCAGAGTCCCAGAGCCTCACCCAGGCCCCCAGCCACCACAACTCTGCCTCGCAGGTAGCCGGCCACGAAGTCTGCTCGCCTTTTCTTCAGGTAGCAGGAGCGCTCCATCTTCATCCACCCGCCTGGAAGGACAGGACACGCCGGGGCTGGGGGATCACCCACCCCTGGAAAGGCACCCACCCCCCCTGAGCCCTTGCCTCTGGAAGGGCAGTTTGGCTGCGTCACCTTGGGGTGATAAAACCCCATGGGGTGGTTGGGTTTGGCCCCTGTTATCCCACTGTTGGATCCAGCTGCCTTGGGATTGAGGTTTTCCCTTTGAGGTTTTCCCATTGCACTCGGTAATCCTGACTGGAAAGTGTCCTCTAAGCTGAGCTCAAGGCAGCAGCAGATGGGGGCTCTGTGCTCTGCAAGGGTGGCAGAGCCCCAAACCCAGCCCTGTGACCCCAAACCCAGCCCTGTGTGACCCCAAACCCCACACCCAGCCCTGTGTTCTCAAGCCCAGCCCTGTGTGACCCCCAAACCTATCCCTGTGTTTCCCCAGACCCAAACCCATCCCTGTGTTTCCCCAAACCCAGCCCTGTGTGCCCCAAACCCCAAACCCAGTCCTGCGTGTTCCCAAACCCCAAACCCAGCTCTGTATGACCCCAAACCACAAACCCAGCTCTGTATGACCCCAAACCCCAAATCCATCCCTGTGACCCCAAACCCATCCCTGGGACCCCAAACCCCAAACCCAGCCCTGTGTCCCCAAACCCAGCCCTGTGTGTCCCCAAACCCATCCCTGGGACCCCAAACCCCAAACCCAGCCCTGTGTGTCCCCAAACCCATCCCTGTATGACCCCAAACACAACCCTATGTGCCCCAAACCCAGTTCTTTGTGACCCCAAATCCCAAACCCATCCCTGCGTCCCCAGTCCCATCCCTGTGTCCCCAAACCCCAGACCCAGCCCTGTGTGTCCACAAACCCCAAACCCATCCCTGTGTCCCCAAACCCCTCGGGAAGGTCCATGGCCGGTCCAGCTCCCACCTTGCTCCAGGTCAAAGACGTCCACGGTCCTCATGAACTTGGGCTGCCGGTAGAGCCGGCCCTGGCGCAGCCCCCCGAGGCTGAAGAGCTTCTCCTCGGTGGGCACGAAGCTGGAGAAGGCTCTTTTGGTGGGAATGTTGGGGAACCTGCTCCAGGAGCGCGTGTCTGTGTCGAAAACCTCGAAGGCGTTGACGGCGTACTTGGATTGCCTTCCCCCTGGGGAGGAGAGGGAATTGGGACGGAAGGGAAATTGAAATGGAGGAGGAGTTGGAGAGGAGAGGGAATTGAAATGGAGAGGGAATTGAAATGGAGAGGGAATTGAAATTGTAAGGGAGTTGGAAAGGAGGGAGAGTTGAAAAGGAGGGAATTGGAAAGGAGAGGGAATGGGAAAGGAGAGGGAATTGAAATGGAGAGGGAGTTGAAATGGAGGGAATTGAAATGGAGGGAATTGAAATGGAGAGGGAGTTGAAAAGGAGAGGGAATTGCAAAGGAGAGGGTATTGAAGTGGAGAGGGAATTGGAATGGAGGGAAGTGGAAAGGAGAGGGAGTTGAAATGGAGAAGGAATTGAAATGGGGAGGGAATTGAAAAGGAGAGGGAATTGGAGGAAGAGAAAGGATGCAAAAGGAAGCAAAAGGAAAAATGTGAAGGAGAAGGAAGGACAAGGAAGAAAAAGGAACAAAAATTAAGGAAAAGGAAGAGAAAGGAAGGAAAAGGAAGGAAAAGGAAGAAAAAGGAAGGAAAAGGAAAGAGAAGGATGGAGAAGAAAAGGGAAGAGAAAGGAAGAAAAAGGAAAGAGAAGAAGGAGAAAGGATGGAGAAGGAAGGAGAAGCAGGAGAGGAGGAGGCAGGGCTGCTCCTTACCCAGCACGTAGATCTTGGTGCCCCTCAGGATGGAGGTGGCGGCGTAGCGGGGGGTGGGCATGGCAGCCAGGGACACCCAGATGTCCTTGAGCACATCATAGTGCTGCAGGAAGTTGTGGGGCCGCAGGTCCGCGCCCATCCCGCCTGCTGCGTACACCCTGTAGTCTGGATGGGGCAAAAAAACCCCAAACCCCATGAAATTATTGGGATAATAAATTATTGTAGGGAAGCACGAGAAATGCCCCTCCCCTGCTGTGTTAACCTGTGATCTGGATGGGAAACACTTGCCTTTGGCTGCCTCTGAGATGCCCATGGCCACCTCAGGGAAGCTTTCCACAATCTATTATTCTTCTATATCAAAAACTCCTTCCATCTCTATTCCTCCCTCAACTTCCACATTCTGAGACCTTCCTGCCAACTGTGACACTTCCCAAACTTTCCCTCTTTCCCACGCTTGTCTTTGGCCGCCACCGAGATGCCCACGGCTGCCTCGCGGAGCGAGCTGCGCTTCAGGGAATCCATTGTCCTACAATCCATTATTCTTCTACACCAAAACCTGCTTGCACCTCTACTCCACCCTGAGCTTCTACATTCAGAGATCATCCTGCCATCTGTGAAACTTCCTTGCCAAACTTTCCATCTTTCCAACTAACACTTGCCTTTTCCACCACCGAGATGCCCATGGCCGCCTCACAGAGCGAGCTGTGCCTCAGGGAAGCTTTCCACAATCTCTCATTCTTCTATATCAAAACCTGCTTCCACCTCTATTCCACTCTCAAGTTCTACAGAGACCTTCCTTCCACCTGTGAAACCTCCTTCCCAAACTTTCCCTCTTTCCCACACTTGCCTTTGGCCGCCACCGAGATGCCCATGGCCACCTCGTGGAGCGAGCTGTGCCTCAGGGAAGCTTTCCACAATCTCTCATTCTTCTATATCAAAATCTCCTTCCATCTCTATTCCTTCCTCAACTTCCACATTCTGAGACCTTCCTGCCAACTGTGACACTTCCCAAACTTTCCCTCTTTCCCACACTTGCCTTTGGCCGCCACCGCGATGCCCATGGCCACCTCAGGGAAGCTTTCCACAACCTATTATTCTTCTATATCAAAACCCACTTCCACCTCTATTCCACTCTCAAGTTCTACATTCAGAGACCTTCCTTCCACCTGTGAAACCTCCTTGCCAAACTTTCCCTCTTTCCCAGCACTTGCCTTTGGCCGCCACGGAGATGCCCATGGCGGCCTCGCGGAGCGAGCTGTGCTTCAGGGAATCCATTGTTCTCCTACAATCCATTATTCTTCTACACCAAAACCTGCTTGCACCTCTACTCCACCCTGAGCTTCTACATTCAGAGATCATCCTGCCATCTGTGAAACTTCCTTGCCAAACTTTTCACCTTTGGAAAAGATGGAAAACACTTGCCTTTGGCCACCACCGAGATGCCCATGGCCGCCTCACGGAGTGAGCTGCGCTTTGGGGAAGCTTTCCACAATCCATTCTTCTATATCCAAACCTGTTTCCACCCCTATTCCGCCCTCAGGCTCTACATTCTGAGACCTTCCTGCCACCTGTGAAACCTCCTTGCCAAACTTTCCCATCTTTCCAACTAACACTTGCCTTTTCCACCACCGAGATGCCCATAGCCACCTCACAGAGCGAGCTGTGCCTCAGGGAAGCTTTCCACAATCTATTATTCTTCTATATCAAAATCTCCTTCCATCTCTATTCCTCCCTCAACTTCTACATTCTGAGACCTTCCTGCCAACTGTGACGCTTCCCAAACTTTCCCTCTTTCCCACACTTGCCTTTGGCCGCCACCGAGATGCCCATGGCGGCCTCGCGGAGCGAGCTGCGCTTCCTCCAGCGCCCCTCGTCCGTGTTGTACATCTCCACCACCTTCAGCGGCAGCTGGTTGGCGCCCACGCCGCCGATCACCATGATCCTCTTGCCCAGCACGGTGACGGCCACGCCGGCCCTGGCCGTGGGCATGGCGGGCAGCGCTGCCCACTGGTCGGCCTCGGGCGAGTAGACCTCGAAGGAGTCCACGGCGACGCCGTTGTCGTCGCAGCCGCCCACGGCGAACACCTGCCCGCCCGCCTCCACCAGCGTGGAGTAAACCCTGCGGCTGGGCAGCGGCGCCAGGGACTTCCACTGGAAGTCCTTGGTGTTGGGCAGCTCCATGGTGGCAGCCGGGAAGGGGTTGGTGCTGGGAAAAAAAGAGAATTCCGGAATTGTTGAGGGTGGAGAAGTTCGCCAGGATCGGCCAAGTTCTGCCACTGAGTGCCACCTCCAGGAATTCCTTGGACACCCCCAAACCCCCCTGGGAAGCCCCTTCCAGCCCTTTCCATGAGGAAATTCCTGCTGTGTCCAACCTGAGCCTCCCCAGCCCAGCCTGAGGCCGTTCCCTCTCCTCCTGTCCCTGTTCCCTGGGATAAGATCCCAAATCCCCCCGGCTGTCCCCTCCTGGCAGGGAGTTGTGCAGAGCCAGAAATTCCCCCTGAGCCTCCTTTGCTCCAGGCTGAGCCCCTGCCCAGCTCCCTCAGGACTCTCCAAACCCTTCCCAGCTCCCTCAGGACTCTCCAAACCCATCCCCATCTCCATTCCCTTCCCTGGACACGCTCCAGCCCCAAAATGTTCCTCCTGAACTGAGGGAAAAATCCCAGAGTGCAAACCCCGCCCTGACAGGAGCAGAGCGGGACCAGAGCTGCCCTCCCACTGCCACCTGTCCCCTGTGCCACCCCCAGAGCGCCACTCCCGCCTGTCCCCTGTGTCACCGCCACCTTTCAGCGCCTCTCCATCAATCCTGCGGCTCCAGAGCCGCCTCAGCAGCTCACGCAGAGACCGAGCCTAAAAATAAAACAAAACAAGAAGAGGTGGGAAAACAAAAGACAAAAAAAAAAAGGAAAAAACAAAAAGCAAGCCAGGCGAGAAGGTTGGAGTCTGTTTGTTCTGCTGCTTCCCCGCCCCCAGGTGACTTCAAGCCAGGCTCTGCTCCCTCCTGTTTTCCTGCCGGCTGGGGAACCTTTCCTGCTCTCACCCACCGGGTTCCTCCTCCTCACCTTCCTCACATCCCCACCCCGAGGAATGCGAACCCCCGGCTCTGCAATCCCGGGGCGGAGAGCTGGGAACCCGCGGTCATTGCTCCATCTCCTCTCTCCTTCATTAAGCGCCATGCAGATGAGCTTAATTAGCGAGAGAGGGCGAAGGGAGAGGGACAAAAGCAGCGCTGGGAGGAAAATCCCTTCCCACTCTTCCCATCCAACCCCGAGCCTCCATAAAATCCGATTAATCCGAGCACGGCTGTTTGTTTTTATTATTATTCATCATCCCAAATAAATGTTCAGGAGCACACGAAACATCATTTACTGCATGAGGAATTAATAAATAAACGGAGAAATCCTGCTCGGGCTGCCACCCTCCAGCAGCAGGAGCTGCCGTGGGCCCATCCACAATTCCCGGGGCAATTCCTGGAAATTCCCGGCTCCAGGGGGACAAAGGGACACGAAGCCACGATGAAAAGCAGCAGCAGCAGCACATCAAACCTCCCAGAATCCAGGGAAAAAGCAGCGAGCAGCAGCCCAGACTGCTCTGCCCTCCCTGAGCAGCATCCCCGGGATTTGTGCCCCGGCAGATCCGGGGTTCTGCTCCCTCCGATGATTGATTTCCTTTCCAGGTGAATTTTCATGGATAAATTCACCCTGGCCTGGTTAATTAGCAAAGCAGAGCCAGCTCCCGTTTCCAGGAGCTCGAGGGATTTGCGTTCAGACATTCCTGACCTCTAATCCTTCAAATCCAAACTGCTGGGATGAGACACAACCAGCACCAGCCCAGTGCCTGCCAGCAGCAGAACCTGGCTGGGGCCAGGCAATTTCTCCATCCAAAACTCAGAAATAATTGCCTGAAATGGCCTAAAAATTCCTTTTCGACATCCCAGCAGGCAGAGAGCGCTTGGGGAGGGATGAGGAATTCTCCAGGCAGGTCCTCCATGGGAATAAAGGAGCAAAGAGCCGGGAATTCTGCTGGAATGCAAACCCCTGCCTGAATTCAGCTGCCTTGGCACACAAAGATTCTGCTCCTCTTCCCTCCCGTGCTATTTAAAGGAAATCAAGGTCAGGCTCACACGCTGAATTCCTGAATTCCTTCGCCTCCAGCTCTCCAAAAATCACCTGGATGTCACCGGGAAGCGACACCAGCGCCGTGCTGGGATCTGGCAGAGTTTCCTGAGGCCAAATTCCCCTCCCAGACCCAGGGAATTATCGCCTCATCATCCCAGACTAATTGACATTGGAAATCCAAAGGAAGGAAATTGCGGAGCTGGGGCCTGAGCCCTCTCCACTCTTTATCCCTGCAGGATGAAATTCCTTGATTCAAGGGTGGAAAGGATGAAATTCCTTGGTTTAAGGATGCAAAGGATGAAATTCCTTGGTTAAAGGATGAAAAGGATGCAATTTCTTGGTTTAAGGATGGAAAGGATTTAATTCCTTGGTTTAAGGATGCAAAGGATGAAATTTCTTGGTTTAAGGATTGAAAGGATGAAATTCCCTGGTTTAAGAAACCCTCCAGGGTCTTTTCCAAGTGGATTTGGAGCATGGATGGGCAGGGGCAGCACCCCCAGAGAGGGGTCAGGGCTCCTGTGGGATTTCTCCCTGGATATTCCCTCCAAGGAAAACCCATCCCTCATTTTGGAGATCCCCTGGATGTGTGGCATTTATGGACCTGCAATAATTTGGGATTTATCAGAGCCGGGCAGGTGGAATTCCAAGGGATTCATGGGATGAACAGGGGGAGATGTCAGAGCAGCTCCTTCCCCTTCCCATCTCTTTTATCTCCAGGATTTGGAAGTTTTGCTGCCCCAGGGTCGAAATTCCAAGGGCTGGAACCCAAATCTGCTCCCATTTGGGAGCGGGGCAGAGCCAGGGTGATGCTCAGAGCCCCCAAACTCTCACCAGGAGCGGGTCAGACACACCCAGCCCCGGGGAAACTTCGGGAAAAAGATTCCTCCTCTCCCCCCGTGTCCCGAGGGAAAAGGGGCTGGGAACAGCCGGGTCCTGGTGCTTTTGCTCCAACCGCGGCAGCTGGGAATGAAAGGAACAGGCTGGGAATTATCAGCCGGGGATTCCTGACCTCACCCCCGCCGCCTCAGCTCCCTCGCCATAGTAACAACCACCGGAACACCACAACAACAACAACAACAACAACGGAACCTCACCGGATCCCCGCCTCTGCCTGGGAAAAAACCCGGCAAAAAGAGCAAAAAACCACTGGGATGAGAAGAGATTTCATTGTGTGGAGCAGAGCGGCGCTCTGAGGTGTTTTGTACCCCCCGATCCCGAGCATCCTTTGGGATGCGGGAGGGGCTGGGGCCGGTCTGGCCTCCCCCAGGCTTCACCCCTTCCCCCTTCCCGGTCCCTCGGGAGCCTCTGCAGCCTCGTCCTGCCGGCTGCGATCTCCTGAGGGGAGGGACAGGGGCTGTGGAAGGAAATATTCCCCCACGGGAGCGTGTCAGGGGCGCCACAGCTCCGGGGCGGGGGCAAAATCTGCTTCGTTTTTTGAAAGAGCCCAAATCAGCCCAAATTAAAAACCCTGAGTGGGCTGAAAGAACAGCAGAGCAAGGTGAGGTTTGCTCGTGTCACAGTTGAGCTCGGGAGTTTGAATTCAATTTAAATAATGTAATTTAATTTAATTCAAGAGCAAGAACCCACCTGCAAGGGCAAAGGGGCTCCCTTCCCCACCCAGCTCCCAGCAGGATCCTAAATCCCCTTCCTCGTCCCCAAAAGCTCCCTGTGCCCCAGCAGCTGCTCTGCTGCACGGGTCAAACACAGAAAGGCGTTTCCAAGCCCTCGGGTCTCTCAGGTTGTGTTTCCAGAGCTCTTTTTTCTCTTTATTTCAGCTGCAGAGGGAATGGGGAGAGCTCGGGCCAGATCACAGCTGGGGGAGGTCACAGCGACCCCATCCCTGCCGGGCCTGGTCTGGGAGAAAGGCTGGAAAAAGGGATTGGGGATGCTGGGAGGAGAAAAGCTGAGAATGTGGAATTTTGGGGGAAAAAAGTACAGGAAAACCCCATCCTTTTCCACAAAAAGTAAGGGGGGGAAAAATTATCGTTCCCCACCCAATTTTTGGAAGGGAAACGCAAACTCCAAGCTTTGTTTGTGGCTGTTCCTGGGGTCCCAAAGCGTCCCCCCCCCCAAACGACCTCGAGTGAGGAATTCCCTTCCCTCCCTCCTTCCTTGCCCAGGGTTTCTCAGGAATACTCACAGCTCCGCTGGAGCATGGCTGGAAATGCTCCGGATTTTCCCAAATCCTCCGAGCATCCCCTTCCTCCCACTCCCCGCCGGGCTGCGAGCGGCGCCGGGAGCAGCCGGGGCTGGCAATTGCTGCGTGGGAAGAGAGAGAGGGGAAAAAAAAAATAATAAAATAAATAAAATAAATCCGCGTAAATCCAGCGGCGCTGCTGTTCCCCCTCTGGAAGATGTAGGACACTCAGGGCGGGGAGGGTTTCCCCAGCTGGGCTCCTCCTCGGGGCTGTGCGTGCGAATTCCCGGCGTTCCCGATCCATCCCTGAGCCTTTTATGGCTCCCCACGCTCGCACAGGAGGTTCTGGAACCGCCGCGCTCCCCGCCCTAAAGCGGCACCGGAGGAATCGCCCGGGGAATTTTGGCCAAAAAAAAAAAAACAAATCGGGAAAGCCGGAGCTGAGAGGAGGCAGAGATTGTCCGGGAAGGGATGGGTGGATCCCAGGGAAGAGCCCATCCCGTGGATGTCACCCCAAAATGGGGGAAATGGGCATGGCAAGGGCAGCTGGGGCGGCAGAACCCCAAAATTCTGCTCCCAAATCCCACAGGGAGCTTGGAGGAGCAGGATTTTGGAGCCTTTGGAGCTGATTCCCAAAATTCTGCTCCCACAAGGAGCTCAGAGGAAAGGGATGTTGGAGCCTTTGGAGCTGATTCCCAAAATTCTGCTCCCCACATCCCACAAATTTGGAGGAACAGGATGTTGAAGCCTCTGGAGCTGATCCCCAAAATTCTGCTCCCTTCAGCTCCCACATCCCACAAGGAACTTGGGGGAGTGGGGTGTTGGAGCCTTGGGAGCCAATTCCCAAAATTCTACTCCTCACATCCCACAAATTTGGAGGAGCAGGATGTTGGAGCCTCTGGAGCTGATCCCCAAAATTCTGCTCCCAAATCCCAAAAGGAGCTTGGAGGAACAGGATGTTGGAGCCTCTGGAGCTGATTCCCAAAATTCTTCTCCCACAAGGAGCTCAGAGGAAAGGGATGTTGGAGCCTCTGGAGCTGATCCCCAAAATTCTGCTCCCTTCAGCTCCCACATCCCACAGGGAGCTTGGAGGAGTGGGATGTGGGAGCCTTGGGAGCCAATTCCCAAAATTCTACTCCTCACATCCCACAAATTTGGAGGAGCAGGATTTTGGAGCCTCTGGAGCTGATTCCCAAAATCCTGCTCCCAAACCCCACAAGGAGCTTGGAGGAGCAGGATGTTGGAGCCTTTGGAGCTGATTCCCAAAATTCTGCTCCCACATCCCACAAGGAACTTGGAGGAGTGGGGTGTGGGAGCCTTCGGAGCCAATTCCCAAAATTCTACTCCCCACATCCCACAAATTTGGAGGAGTAGGACGTTGGAGCCTCTGGAGCTGCTTCCCAAAATTTCTTCCCCTGTATCCCAAAAGGAGCTCATGGGAGTGAGATGTTGGAGCCTTTGGAGCTGATTCCCAAAAATTTATTCCCCTGCATCCTACAAGGAGCTCACAGGAGAGGGATTTTGGAGCCAATTCCCAAAATTCTGCTCCCTGCAGCTCCCACATCCCACA